GTGTGCAAACGCAGCACCAGTTATCTACCTCTGCCGGCTTCTGTTGCTTTTTGCCACGCCATGCACTTTGCTTCCGGATTCCCCACCCCAGCTCCCCTTTGGGGAGAGAGGCCCCGAAACCCCCAACTTTTTGGGGAGAGAGGCGTGTGAAGAAAGGAGGGTCACTATACTTATAAGCCATATTAGGGGACTCATAAACTCCACTTGTAACTACCCAAGTAGACCCTCCAAGCAGACCCGTGAAGCTTTCACTTCAAGGCTCCATATTTCCCTCAGCCTCTGGCTCTGCCTGCGCATCGGCCTCCTCCTGGTCGCTACCAACCTGGCTGGACCTCGCCACGGCAGAGACAGGCCAAAGTAACTAACAAACTATCCACCTATCCATCGATCTATCGATCTGTCGATCCATCTATCTATCGATCTATCTATCTATCTGTATCTACATCAAGCTGCTGCAAACATCATGGCCGAGCCTCTGCGAAAAGATGATGTTCTTCTTGAATTTGCCAATATCCCTCTTGCCCTGGTGCAGCCGCGAACACTTGAACAGCATCACGAAGAGAAGCAGGCTCTCTGATCGGCAATCTTTAAGTCTTAAGCTCTTCTATGCGACAAGCAGATTCCGACGAGTCTCACGGTCAAGAACATACAAACAGTAACTGTAGCTTCTCCATTTGCTGCTCTGCTGCCGGATTCCAAGCTCTTTCGTCCACCCTGGCCGCAAGACGAGTCTTGTCAGGCAGTTGTCACAAGTAAGGTTTCAGGAGTGAGCCTTGGCGCGCAGGGCCAACCCAAAACACACAGGTGGACTCAGAGGGACCTTTTTCTCGTCGGGTAGGTGGCCAGGCCGGTATCTACGGTCGAAAATCACATTCACATCCGGACAAATGCACAGGCAGCAGAGGTGTTGGTGGCCGGAGTTGTAGCGGGTCGCAACAGCACCAAAGTGCCCCCCGACTCACTTTTTACGCAGGGCCAAGCCTCTGAAAGCAACGAGTTCCAGGGATCAGGCTTGGGGCTGGTAGTAAAGAGTATTTACTACTAGTTTTATACTGCTATATATGTATGTATATATGTATACTATACCATATTATGCCTTAATTATGCAACATATCATAGCAACTAATTTTTATTTATATTCCAACTCTTCAAACTCAACCCTTGGTCGACTCATGCGCGCACCTGATGGACATCCCCGGGCGCTCTTTGGCCAGATCAGAGCCTGAAAGACAGTCATTGCCACGATCACCGGTATGTTTGCCTTAATCACTACCCATAGGCCCCTAAGTAGTTCCTTTTTGGGATTACCTTATAGGATTCTAAATATAAGCCATAAGAAGGAACTACTTAGGGGCCTATGGGTAATCTTAAGGTTCAGGCAAAGGTGCGATGCACAACGTGAAAACCAGGAGGTGGTGGCTGGCACTGTGTTCACAGGAGAGTGAAGGCAGATGGACGAGACGGGCCGCAGAAGCACTCCCAAGGCATTGACATGTTGCTGGGCTACTGTGCCCCAGTCTGGATGGCTGAATCTTTAGCTGACATGCATTTCAAGCGGCACAGCTGGTCGATCTTGCCTCTTGCCGAGGCTTCGCAGCAAACCGTCATCAGAAAAACGATCGGTGCGATGGCGCACATGACCACGCCAGCCATCAAGGCAATGATGCTCACCCATGTTGCATCTTCCTCCGCATGGGCGACACTGGCTTTGGGAGTTTCCTCTGCTGCGTTCGGCTTTCTGCGACAGATGCTTGTGCCTCGCCTGCACACATCTTGACGGCAAAGTAACGTGGTGCTATGGCTGCAGAAACTCACCCAGCTCGACAGGCTTTTTTGGAAAAACTTATACACAACGACTCCAGATGTTAAAACCGCTCGTTGAAGTGCTGTGGCAAACCCAGTGGAGGCTGCAGAGCAGCAAGCCCCAGAGAACCTCTACCCAGAAAGCACATTTCCCCGAAGAGCCTTTCCCCAATCGTGCGTGGGTGCTTCCAGTTGCTGGTGGTTTAGTTGTGCAAAGGCGGTGGCAGATCCCCAAGTCTTGTCCAAACCTGTATCTTCGCCAAGCAGCTGTGAGTGTCATGAAGGCCAGCACAAAGACCAGCAAGCAACTTCCGCTCCACACAATTAGGAAGATGCCTGCCATGCAGGCAGGCTGCTCGGCAACAGTCGGTCATAGAATCTGTTGCTCATACCAACATGGAGTACTAGGCTCCGATGTAAGATTCCATCAGAATCTAAGAAGCAACTACCATCCAGGCTGAGGCGAGCTGTAGGCAGGATTGGCTAGCGTTCCCGTGAGAGGACCGAGGATGGCCTGAGATGTTGTGAATTAGTCGCAGCTTGTTTCGCAGACAGCCAGGAAAAATCCAGCAGAGTCGCAGACAAACGCACTGCGAACTTGCTGGGACCGATAAACAGCCCAAGACAAGCCTCCAAAGAGCTTGATGAGCCCCGTCTTCCGGAAGGTCTGCAAGAGCCGTGTCACCTCCGCTACCCAAGCAGTCCTTGGCTTTGGAGTCCGTGATTCTCTGAGGACCGGGGACGGATCCCTGATCCCAATATGGGCATCCAGCTTGCGGAACATGCAAAAAGCTCTAGCCAACTTCGACTCATCTTCATCATCTTGGAGGTTCATGGCTAGTTATTAAGTTGGGGGTTATAAGTCCCCTAAATATGGGTTATAACTATAGCTACCCTGCTTTATATCTTTTTGTTGCCAGGGCTCCACCTTTCCAGGGGGACGCCTTCGAGCACCTCCGGCTTCTCTTGCGGCACCGTCCAGGCGCTACATAGCGGATCCTCACGGGAGCGGAATTTCCCTAGAGACTCCAAAATCCCTGAAGTAAAGAATACTCCTTAAGTGATGGTAGGTTCCCTAATATGATTTAAGGCATATTCCTTAAATTATGGTAGGATCCCTAATATGATTTAAGGTACTTCCCTAATTACGGAATATTGGAGTCTCTAGGAAGCATCCCGCAAAATTCAGGCCTGCCTGCTGCACTATTGGGTAGCTCTCGAAATGAGGGCTCTGTTTTGGGTCCCCAATCTAGTAGGGCAGCCTCATTTAAAAAAAAAAACTCCAGGAGGGACCCTAATTTAGAGAACGTCCCCCATATGTCAAAGTATCCTGAATATCTGCATATTGTCTGTGTGGCGGAACCTAAACAGAGAGCTGTCGAAGCGGTGCATTGCCCCAACTTGGAGGTTCATGGGTAATGATAAGTATGGTTATAAGTCCCCTAAGATGGGTTATGACTCTAGTTACCTTACTTATAACCCCACTTATAACTACTTGGAGGCCCAGGGGACATAGTAAGTGGGTTATAAGTACAGTTGTAAGTACCCTAAATGGAGTTACCCCAATTATAACCCTACTTATAACCGACTTACTAAGTCCCCTGGGCCTCCAAGTACCCGTCAACCTCCGAAAAAGCTTGGAGCAGAAAAAGTCTGAAGCTTGTTAGGCAAGGCGGGAGGCCTCCGGTTCGGTACAGCTTAATGACAGGTTAACACAGGGTCGGTCTCTTTCTTAAAGCGCAAGACCGGGTTTTTGAGTGCAGTAGCCCCTGATTTCACTGAGAATCTGAGTGCGCACCCGCTTACCAGGCTTACCAAAGTGCGCAGCTCGACTCAACGGGAACAGGCTTTCACTCAAGGCAGACACATGCCTCAGTCACTCAGCAAGATCGGGTTTAGGGTTTGGGGTTTACGGTTTAGGGGGCATGGCATGGCACAGCAAGGGCCATCCTCGATGACCAAGTGGTAGTCTGCGCTCTTGTCTCCCATGGCCAGCACGGAAACGAGGCCGAAACAGCTGCAGCTCAGCTTCAGTTGCTTCTTGAAGGCATGGCTTAGGCATAGCAGCTTAGCTGCATGAAATTCGGAAATTGCTTTCAATTCAGTTGATAAGGGCATCTCCTCTCGCCCATGGCAACTTTTTCCTCCAGAGGGCTCGGGGATGTCTTTCTGGAATGCAGATGGCTTGCGGGATGCTTCCGAGGAACTCGCCCGGTCCCGGCGGATGTAGGCCCTGACACGGTCAGCGGCAAGCCACGACGGCTGTCACAGGGCTTAGGAACATGGAAAGCCTCGTCAGTGCAGGTTGTCGAGGTCATGCTGAAGCTGAAGCCTCCCGTTAGGGAGGCTATGTCGGCATCCACTAGGTTTCGACCAAAATTTCAAAACAAAGTATGGAAAAGTGCCGGCGAAAATCTTGACGTTTGGCCGGAAGTGCGATGCTTGGCAGCACGACCAAACCGATGTCAGGAACCTGTCCTGGCCTCGGACAGTCCTGAAAGGCTTCAACCCTAGCTACCGCATGCAAGCGCGGAACGCGCGCGAAATGTTCGCGTGCCGGGCTCGAATTAGGAGACTCAACCTCCGGCAGGAGGATTGTGGGATTGTGGATTAGGGGATTAAGGACCCTGAAAGCACCTAAGAACAACCAGAAGCTTGGGATATCACAAAGTCGACCCCAGAGTTTCCAATATCCCTTAATTAAGGAATATATTCCTTAAATTATAGTAGGATCCCTAATATGATTTAAGGTATATTCCTTAACTAAGGGATATTGGAGTCTCTAGGTCCCTCCCTCTTAGAGTAAGCCAAGCAAGCCAAGGATCTCCCAGAGTCTACTTTTCGGTGCCTTTTTCTTGGGGGTTCCTGAGTGGATGCCGTAATATAGGGGCCTCAATAATTAGAATGGGGTTTTTTGGGGCTCCTTACTATAATTATAGTATAATGTACCCCAAAACCCTATTCTAATTATTAAGGCCCCTATATTAACTTGCAGCACTTGGGTCTCCGGTCAATGACCAGACTAAGCATCAAGCCCTAACCCGGCGAAAACAAGACCCGAACAGCAATCCGCTGTTGCGGAGCCTTGGAAACCGATAAAAACGATAAGCTACCCGTAGGCCCCTAAGTAGTTCCTTTTTGTGGTTTATAGGAACTACTTAGGGGCCTATGGCTAGTCAGAGACTTCGACGAGGTCCTCATATGGCCATCCTCACTTCAGGGCCATCCGAGACCTGCTCCGTCCCCTGATCATCGCCCGTCCTGACGATCGCACAAAAACCATGTCCAGGCGTCACTGGAGGGTGCAAGGCTAAACCCTAAACCCTCAACCCTAAACCCTAAAAAAACCCTAAACCCTCAACCCTAAACCCTAAAAAACCCTAAACCCTAAACCAATTTAGAGCTTCGGGTTTAGGGTTTAGGGTTCATGGCCTGCTGCGGCCAGCAACCCTCGGGAGACTGTGGCCCCGCTGTCTTGGAAAAGGCCGATCGCGGCTGTGACACAAGGTATCTGACATTCAACCCAACCGGCAGCATCCTACTGTTGATGATAGAAATCCTGCATCACCTTAAGGACCCTAAACTATGGGAATTATGGTATAGTCCTTATTACGGGGTAAAATGCAGGATTTTACATGATCAACCGTAGTTGGGCATCCTATCCCGGAAGCTCCAGAGCTCAAACACCCCAAAAAGGCCCCCCGCCTCTGGACAGGCTCGGGTTCTTCGAGGGCCGCCGTAGTCTCCATGCCATCTTCGGGCAGGGCAGCTTCCGGATCGTGGTCGCTCATTCGGATCTCCTGTTCAAAAAAGGGTGGCTCTTATTCTGTTAATGGCCACTGTATGCTCTTATCAGCCTTGTAGTGGATGCAATGTGTCCTTACTTTGTCGTTCGTCTTCGCTGTTCTGGCCATTTCTATTTCTGATACTACTGTTCTACTTCTTTGGGGGTTTCCGAAAATCGGGGACCCTAATATAGTACCCTAAATAGTAGGATCCTAAACATAAGGACCCCAAAATAAGGTACCCCTCATTTTCGGAAACTCCCATGTCGGGTCCTGCATGCCCAGGAGGTCGCCACGGCAGGTGGGGCAACTCTTGGCCTTCTTCAGCCAGCAGTCGATGCACTCCTAGCAGCTTGGGGGTGATTGGGGTTTAGGGTTTTTGGGGTTTAGGGTTTAGGGATTTAAAGTTTAGGGATTTAGGGTTTAGGGATTGGAGTCATCCTGCTGATGGACAGAATAGGACGGAGTTCTGTGTTAGTTTCTGGCAGCTTGCAAGCTTGAGAAGTTGGCATATCTCGCATGCTCGCTCGTGCAGGATGTTGTCCATCAGCAGCTGATGGTGCGAAGTATTCGAAAGCAGTATAAGCACATGCAATACGACTTGGAAGCATGAAGCCTTAGGCCTTCCCTGTGGAAGCCGGCCTGGTGGAAGTAGTGGTTGCACGGCAACTTCCTGCAGACGTCGCCGGGCTGAAAGTTGCTCAGGCAGACCTGAAACGGCCGTTGTCTCAGCTCTTCTGTTCAAGCGCCTGCATGTGGGATGGCGATCAAGATCCGGCAATGCTTGACAGCCATGTCCAGGTGTACTGGCAAGGGGCACTGCAAGCGAGCTGAGAAGCCACCGACGCACCCAGCACCTTTTCTCCGCGCAGTTGTGTTCTTAGCTTTACGTAAGGGTTTAGGATTTGGGCCTGAGGGTTTCTGGCTGCTCCACATGAAGACTAGATGCCGGAAACTCGACCCGCTATCCGAGGCTGGACAGACTGCTAGACTCTGAACTGGAAATGAGCTCACCACGCAGATTCTGAATCTTAGTTCCCTGGGTAGGTCCGAACAGAAAGCAACCCGCAAACAGAAAAGCAAACCCGAAACCCTAAAGCCTAAGCCCTCCAAAAGCGATAGCTTTGTGTCCGATGAAGTCTGCAGCCTCAGGAGCAGGCCTTCACACACAAAACAATAACCAAGATAATACCGACAACACTAAACGCTGCATCTGCAATATGTGCATGTACAGTGTAGGTATTGATGTCATGGGAAAAACAGCAGTCGTCTACAAAGAGAAGAGCACAACAGTACGTTGCAATGGCAGGCCGTACAGATGGGAAAATCTACATCGATGGCAGATCTCCACCTAGAATTGGTCTTCCTTAGAACTTACGATGCGGCCTCCATCCTATGCGACAGGTGACTTCCGGAAAAACAGCACAGGAACCCTAAAACCTAAACCCTAAACCCTTTAAGGGCATAAGGGCTACTCACTCGCTGCAAACCTCCGCACCTGCGGCTTGCAGCTCGGGTGAAGATCTTCCAGTCCCTTCAAGTCCAGACCGGGAGGGACCTTCCGAAGAAAGGTTTCGAAGGGGTTTAGGGTTTAGGCTTTAGGGATGTCTAGGCTCACGGTTAGGGTTTCGAAGGACGGGGTTTAGGGATGTCTAGGCTTAGAGGGTTTAGGGTTTATAGGGTTTAGGGATTAAGGGTTTAGGGTTGGACAACCTTGACTCCGATTTGTCTGGTTCTGCTAGAGCCCTGGCCTATACCCTACTCCCTTCTCGACCTGGAGGGCTTGTTAAATCTCGGGGAGCTAAAGGGCATGTAGTGTACCGGAATATCGCGTCTATCTTCTGTATAGTCATCTGTCTATCTATCAATCAATAAATCTATCTGTCTGTCTGTACGTGTGTCTATCTATCAATCGATCGACTTCTATCTATCTTTTTACCTACCTGACCTACTGATATACTTTATGTTATGTATATATGTCAGTGTGCATGAGTACATACATCTATGGAGCAATTGGAACCGAACTGATCACACTCTGCATGTAGCTTTTATTGTAGTTTTGTGTATATCGGTGTAGGTATGTTTGCACGCATCTTCGTAGCTGTATCACTCTAAAGCAAGCAGACAAATTATCACACAAACACAAACAAACACACACAAAGAAACAACCAAACAAATAAACAAACAAACGAACATACACACGCACACAACTCCATGTTATAATGGTGCATTTCACGCTTCGGCTTTGGTAGCAATGCAACTTCCCGACTCTTCCGCTTCTCGTTGCACCCTTGCAGAATCCAGTAAAATTCATGCAAAACTCCTGAAGAACACACATCATGTAGAACCCGGCCTGTGTGGAAGGGGGCTCCTGGAGGCCGGCGCGCAAACGCTTCCGTAGCCAGAAGATACCATAGACCAATGGCAGGGCACAGGCCAAGGACATTGTGACGATCCTTGGACAGTGGTAAGAACAACAGTAGCAGGCATGATAATGATGACGGTGGTGCGTAGCAGCAATGCACAGCTAGTAATAAAGAGCGATGTCCATTGCAACAAAATTCTTGATGCCACACAGCGAGAAGTTTCTTTTACATGTCAGCCATCGCTTGGCTCAACAAACGCATGGCAAGAGCAGCTGCACGGTGGGAACACTCGATCCGAGCAGGAACGGAAGCAGACCAGCAGCCTTTAGCTCTGCACGACTGCACGATGAGATAACGGCATTCTTTTCTTACAGACATGCGCAATAACAAACATGAGCAGGCAGCGACAGCAGTTGACAGCAGTAGTACCATTGAAAAAATCAATCCTGAATCCTAAACCCTGACAACAGACACGCACAAGTTAGCGATTACATCGAGGCACTGACGCTCACCCGTTACCCCTCAAACATAAGACTTCAATGATCATGCTCATAATCATAATCGTAGTGGCCATGCTAGCATAGTTAGATCAAACAGTAAGAGAGCGGCACGACGACCATGACGACTATGACCACAAGGAGGACCACGACAATCCATCAGGAATTCACAAGGAGACCACCGGGAGTCGGAGACCACCAAGAGACACCAGCAGACCACCCAAAGACGAGCAAGAGACCGCCAGCAGCACCGACCACGGCCAAATGCTTTCCCCGAGTACTTGCGGGGATATAGGATTCCGGAGTGTAGTGCTTCCCGAATCTCAACACTTCTCTTGACAATAAACATTGTCAACACCACTATGTACCAACCACAAAGAAAAGAAGAGCTGCAAGCCATATCCCTAAACCCTAAACCCTAAATCCGAAATCTTTGGTCCAAGGGACGCGATCGTCCGTGCCGTGTGCAGCTCGTTCGGAGGGTTGCTCGGCGCTGGAGCTGCGTACCGAAACGGTGTAGTGGTCACAACGGGTGCCTGCGATGCAGAAGAATGTGTGTGTGTGTATATATATATATACACACACACACAGAGATATAGATATTGAAACATATCTATCTTTCTGGTTGTATATATATATTATATTATATCATTTCATATTATAGTAAGTTATATCATACTGAAATTTTACATGCTTGTATGAGAAGAACTGTAGCTCCTAGAAATGTGCATGGCAGTGAGCACCGTCGGCGAACAGCTGCAACAATCCAGCACCAACATCTAGGGAGAACCATGCAGGAATCAAGCCGCGGCGGCCGCGGCGGTGATCGACAATGTCAGAATAGCCGCGAGCCATGTAGCAGCAGCAGCAGCAGCAGCATCGATCGGATCGCAATGATCATCATGGCCATGTCCATCACTCATCAAAGCTATAATGAAGCCACAGCCTTCTCTACGGCGATCACATGCCCCTCCAGATGCGAGTCCCAGCCTTGTAGCTCCACTCCACGGACCAAATTCCAAGATCTAGCAGGCTCACCCTGGCAATCAGAATCGCAGAGTCGGGCGTCTCATCTATCAAACTTACCGGCCAGTTGCTGCTAGCTCAACCAAGAGCTTCCTACAATGCGGTCTAGGATCGAGTGGACGCCACGAAATTCAGAAGGCAAGGTTTTGGATTCGTACAAGCGAGATGCAGGCGAGAAGGATTCTTGGGTCTGCGGTCAAGTTGTTGTGGCAGTGGCAACAGTAGCGCCTTCTTTGTCAAAACCATAACACCATACAGTGCACAGATTGTTTATCTCATACAACATACAACAGGTGTAGGAACAGGTAGCAAACAAGTTCTAGTAGCCGTGAGCTGATGTGCGCATAGCAGAAGGCGCAATGGGGCATAAGCAAATACCTCTGCATAAACCCGTTCTGTAGATGCTCATAACTACAGAAACTGCACGATAAAACGGAGGAAACGCTCAGAACCCTGTAGACATAATGTTATGCGGGAATGCGTCGTGCGATCTCATACTACAGAGAGAGAAACCGTAACCTAACGCCCCGTGAAACCTCTGAGGTCTCATAATTACCGTGCAATCACTTCCGTCAGATCTGCGTCCCGGCCTGCGTCTGTCATCTCTAAATGAGCGGAATTCGACTCGAACCTCAGCAGAAAATCGCACCGCAGAATACGGGCAGGAAAAGACCCGAAGACATCTTGGACCGGCGTATGTAGCATTTAGGGTTTCGGGAGATCTACAACAAGTACAAGGGAGTACGATTGCGAGAACCCCAGCTTTCGGCATTCCAGACATAAGAGACCACGCCATCAGAGAATCGGATTCTGAGGGGGCTTATATTAGATTGTAAACATTAGGTACGTAAAGGAATGAGGCTGGTAAGCAAAGAGGAACTACGTTCCACTACCGTTTTCTGTCCGCGACGAAAGACCAGCAGAGCCTTCAACAACACGACGACAACAACAGCAACAGCACCCGCACCAGCAACAGCACCCACCAGCAACACCCAGCAACACCACCACCAACAACGACCACCACCGCAACCACAACCACAACCACAACCACAACCGCAACAACAACGACGACGACGACCACCACCACCGCAACAACAACATGATGATGCGCATATATATATATACATATGTACATGTATATGTATGCAGTATACATACACATACATACACCCATGCATATATATATATATAAATATAAACATATATATATATGTATACACACACATGGAGTACATATAAGATAGAAAGAGTAACAACATACATGCCTACTACTCATATTCCGAGTCGCGGGTCCGTCTACCTCTGAGGAGAGGAAGGCAGGCCCCCGGGCGAGCATCGACGACCCGGAGACGGCGCTGCCCGTGAAGTCCAAACCTCGACTGAGGAAGTGAGGAAGGGAGTTCTGGCCAGGCCGCAGTGACCTTGACAGCTTGGTGTCTACAATTTTCTAGCGAGGAATGCACATGGCACATCATGATGATTCAACATACCAAGAAGCGGATAAGCTCCAGGTAGTCCCCGTCGTACCGCAGCGACGTGACGTTCATCTTCAAGAGCAACCTCGGGTCAGAAGCTGTGTTCCCACCAACGTCCTGGTCTCTCCAGAACGTTTCCAAAACGAAACCCCACAATCGTAATGATAGGCTTCCAGGTGTGTGGGAAAGCGCCCCTACCTACTCTGTGCCACGTCACGTGCCCTCCGCCTCCTGGCCCGAAGGCCAAATCTCCCAGGAGCAGCGGAGATCTTCGCCGTAGCTCACGCCGTAGGAGGCATTGCCTTCGGAAAGATGGAGCAGCAAGAAAATCGAACAAACAAAAGGACAAAGTTCAAAGGAGATGTGCCACTACAAAGCCAAAACTGGCGGCCCTAAGCTGCGGCAACCTTCTATTGAATCAGCGAGGGGCCCATCACAAGCCTCCCCTCTGGGGAGACATACCTGAGCCGCCGGAGCATGTAGTGACTGACAAGGCTTTTGGGCATTTCTGGATCTTCATGGCTTCGGACACACTGCAAACCTTACACCCAATGAGACACTGCACGAAAACTGAAGAATTTCAAAAGGATGCCTGTCTTCAGTCTTTTGGATGCTTTTTGGCCGGCTTGGAGGGTGAAAGGCTTTCTCCTAAAGATTTGAAGGGAATCCCAAAAGCTACCACAGTAAATGTCCATAGTGATATATATATACACTATATAATATATAGACGATTATCTACATGCTATCATACATACATACATACATACATACATACATACATACATACATACATACACACATACATACCTACGTACGTACATACATACATACATACATACATACATACATGATAATGGTGAGATGCTGATCAGAATGTACGAACAGTAACTACTACTATCCTTCTGCTTGCTACTAGCGCTATTACTTTTTATAGAGTACTATAGTTATAGTTGTTGTCATTTTTGCATCACTCTGTGCATATATTCTATATTGCGTATTACATGATAAATGCAAATATATGCATGCACGTACGTACCTATAAATTTCAGCCAGGGGGCCTGGCCTGGCCCTGGGAGCAACGCTGGAACAGCGGGGCCTGGCCGGTCATTGGGCAAAGCAGCAGGAGCGACTCGTCTTCAGCCTTTCCTGATGGTCAGTATGGCTCTTACGGTTGATGATATAAACATTGTCATTGCAAGCGGCGGAATAGTAGTAGCAGTGGCAGTGGCCGTGGCCAGTGGCAGTGGTGCAGCAGTGGTGCAGCAGTCGTCGTCGTCGTCGTCGTCGTCGTCGTCGCCGTCATCGGTCGTCGTGGCAGTGGTCGTCGTCGTACTACTAGTACTAGTAGTGGTATTAGTAGTAGTAGTAGTAGTAGCAGCAGCAGCAGCAGCAGGAACTGTTGCTCCTCACGGTGGCAGTTTTCACGAGCGTTGTCATGGCTGTTACTGCTGCTATTGCTGTTGTCAGAACTCGTTGTTAGTACGTCCTGGCTCGCCAACTTATGTGGAGCTCGTGGTCAAGTGTAGGCGACTGCAACTACCAGCACCTAGTAGAATCTAGGAATCTGTCTTGCAAGCAATGGGATAAGATCCTCCCGAAATACGTACGACAGACCTGGCCAAGGTCTGAGATGAGCGTTGCCCTTACCATGCCTCCCTCTTGATTTACAATTTAATGCTCCGCAGCCCGCCGGATCACACGTGCAGCCACGAACAGCTTAGCAACAGTCGGTGTCTCGCTAGAAGCGATGATGTGCAAGTCGAGTAGCGGATTTCTTGAAAAAGGATGCTTTAGTCTGAAACACTGAGCACAGTCCCAGCTCAGCAGCCTCCGCCGGGTTGCCACCGGTGAACAGCCACACTCCTTCCTGAAACACAGAGCTGGATAGAGGGTTTAGGGCCCAAGGGCATTAGGGTTTTCAGTGGATTCCCGCGGGTAGGGTTGGGGCTCAGGTAATTAGCTCCATGCGCAGAGACCAGCAAGAAATGTCCATCCATGTATCTATGCATGAACGCGGCAATGCGTGTACTACACATCCATATATGCACACTCAAAAGTATGCTTGCATACGCATGCAGAAGCACACTCGGACAGAAAACACACATCTACCGACAGTGTAGTACATGTCAGTCTATCTCCCTACCCAGCCAAATCTGCCTTTGGACGAACATGTATACCCCAGGTACGTATGTGCATGCATGCGCCACCCTGGTGGGCTGGGGTTCAGCCTCGAGTCGGCCTCTCGTGGTCTTACCCATAGGCCCCTAAGTAGTTCCTTTTTATGGTTTATATTTAGAATCCTATAAGGTAATCCCAAAAAGGAACCACTTAGGGGCCTGTGGGTAGTTTACCCCGCAGCCAAACAATCGCAGTTTCCGGCGAGGCGCTGCACTCGCGGCGTATGGCTCCGGACGAAACGGCTCCTGAACAGATTCAGTCCAGGACGTTCTATAAATTATATTATATTGTATTATATT